CACTTTTTTCTTGTCAGTTTATAGTTATTATGGTGTGAAATTACACCCATTAAAATGAACATTTTCACATTGTGATTATCTTTCAGCATAACTAACCAATTAGATTTCATACTTTCCAAAATATCTTAATTACACAGAATCACCAGGGGTTTATTATAATCTTATATTTAAGCCAAATTGTTATTCATCGTTCACATTTTTTTCATCTGAAAACTAGATATCCAAAAATTCCAGCATTAGTTTATTGTCAATAATGTCCAACAGCTCAAATAACACTCAATAAAAAAAGAATTTTATCAAAAATTAACTGGCCTAATTTTTAAAAACATGTTCATTTTCAACTGAGACAAATTATGGTTATTGAAAATTTTTCCAAATTTCAATTTTCAGGTTGTTCGTGGACTACATACACCAACCTCCAATTGTTCGGAGGAATGGTTCAATCTTCAGTGACTTCATTACCTGCCTGCCAAAATCTTTGTGCCAGTACTCCAGGATGTCAAGCCATTGAATGGGTTCCTAATAACGGCGTAGGCTCGCAATGTTTCACATTCACTTCTTCAGCTGTTCCGACTATCAGCGCATCTGGAATTAACCATTACATTTGTTCAGGTTGAAAGTAACAAAATATTTTTATTTAAAGACACGCAATAATAATTTATAAATACAGACTACTTTTATTCAATCTTTTTCTAATTATTCGTTATTTTCACGCAGGGACTACCGCGGTCACATCAACTCCAGGTAAAATTACCATAAAACGTTTGGTGTAATATCATAAACTAAGCATCGAAAAATCTATAACTTTATCTTTTGTCAAGTTTAATAGTTATTATGGTATAAAATTACACCAAAAGAAAATAAACATTTTCAACATTATGATTATCTTTTACCCATAACTAACCAATTAGATTTTATACTTTCCAAAATATCTTAATTACACAGAATCACCAGGGTTTTATTATAATCTTATATTTAAGCCAAATTGTTTTTCATCGTTCACATTTTTTTCATCTGAAAACTTGAGATCCGAAAATTCCAGCATTAGATTGTTGTCAATAATGTTCAACAGCTCATACAACACTCAATAAAAACAAGAATTTTCATCAAAAATTAACTGGCTTAATTCTTACAAATATGTTCCTTTTCAACTGAGAAAAACTTTAGTTATGAACAATCATTCCAAATTTCATTTTTCAGGTTGTTCGTGGACTACATACACCAACCTACAAATGTTCGGAGGAGTGGTACAACCTTCAGTGACTTCATTACCTGCCTGCCAAAATCTTTGTGCCAGTACTCCAGGATGTCAAGCCATTGAATGGGTTCCTAATAACGGCGTAGGCTCGCAATGTTTCACATTCACTTCTTCAGCTGTTCCGACTATCAGCGCATCTGGAATTAACCATTACATTTGTTCAGGTTGAAAGTAACAAAATATTTTTATTTAAAGACACGCAATAATAATTTATAAATATAGACTACTTTTATTTTATCTATTTCTAATTAATTGTTGTATTTACGCAGGGACTACTGCGGTCACATCAACATCAGGTAAGATTACTGTAAATATATAAAGTTATATAAATAAACTTAACATCAAAAAATCTATTTCTTTTTTTTTCTTGTCAAGTTTAATAGTTATTATGGTGTGAAATTACACCAAAATAAAATAAACTTTTTCAACATTGTGATTATCTTTCACCCATAACTAACCAATTAGATTTTATACTTTCCACAATATCTTAATTACACAAAGAATCACCAGGGTTTTATTATAATCTTATATTTAAGCCAAATTGCTATTCATCGTTCACATTTTTTTCATCTGAAAACTAGATATCCAAAAATTCCAGAATTAGATTATTGTCAATAATGTCCAACAGCTCAAATAACACTCAATAAAAAAAGAATTTTATCAAAAATTAACTGACTTAATTCTAAAAAACATGTTCATTTTCAACTGAGACAAATTATAGTTATTGAAATTTTTCCAAATTTCAATTTTCAGGTTGTTCGTGGACTACATACACCAACCTCCAATT